CGATTTAATATTTAACCGCGACACTCGAAACAGAATAGCTTTTAGAACAGGAAATCCATTAACACGACTGTACAATAGATTTGTGATCTAATTTATTTCAAGAATCATTTGATTACCAACAACCGAAGTGATCGGACACAGTTGTTATAATATAATAATATAGGTATAATATTATACCTTCCTCTGTATTTGTAGCTATGCCAAGCCCCCACGGTTCAAAAATTGTTCCGGTGCCACTGGGTATACAAGCGTACTGATTGTCGGTCGTGTTCATCACGGATCCGAGATTCAACCGCGGTTACATTACACACCAACGAAATAGCAGAGTGCTCGGTCGGAATTTAAAATTTTAATTTATATTCGTGAAACTATTATAATTATTATTATTAATATGACGAATAACGGCGTATAATCTTTAATGCGACGGAGACCTTGCATAACTATGACGTGTTTTCTTCCGGAAGTTCGAGGGCGGTTCCGCATGGGTTGGATATTGCACCCGCCCACACTTAATTCTCTGTCTCTTTCTTTCTCTATTGTGTGGTTTTCGAAACATGCGCTTGTTTAAAAGAAAATAACTCGGTCGCGTGAAATTAAAGTCACTGTAATTGACGTAATTTATGAGACACGTGTTGATTTCGGGGTTATCGTGCGCACAGACTTATACGTTTTGATTTCGCAACACCTTCGAATATAGAAAACAGAAAAAATGTTTTCAACCTCATTTGCACGTGACTGTATTGTTTATTGGAATTTGGTGGAACACTTGAAAGTGCGTGGTCTACGCGATAATGACGTTTGTGTATGCATTGATAAATAATATATACGTAATTCATCAATTTCCAATACATCAACATAAAACATAATAGTAATACGTGTTCTTGACCGAAAAAATGTCGGTTCATTTATGTTTTGTAAAAAAAAGTATACTGATGGCCAGTCAGATACGTCAAGACCCGTCATAAATAGGGCCCGGAACTTGATTTAAATATCATTAAAAAACTTAAATTTAGGCAATTAAAAAAAAAAAAAAAAATTTTGAATTAAAAATATATTGAACGGCAGTCAATATTCGAACACGTTTAGAAAGGTCAATCACATTTCAAATATAATAATTCTATATTACATAATATGTAATAATTATATAATAATTCTAAATATAAAACCCAAATAATAATGATTTGAACTTGAGATAAGAAAAGTTGGTACAAACTATGGCAGTCTACAATATTATCAATGAGTTAAATTGTATATTAAGGATTGTAAATATTTTATACTTCCATCGACAAAGTTCGACAATATTAATATTATATGATGTGAAAATCAAGATTTAAAGATCAGATATGTATTAAACAAAAACAAAAAATTCAAATTTATTTATAAGAAGTATAATATTTCATAAAATGCATCAAAATTAGATACCAATAAATAACATTTGAACCAAGAATAAGTGGGAAAATGTAAAAAAATGATAAATAAATGTATAATATTCTGTGTGACACGATTAACATTTCGTTAAAAATGAGCTTCGATAATAAACATTAGAAAAACATTTTCAAATACATCAAGTTCCAGACCTTTGTTGTAAGACTATAAAAGTATTTTTTTTGTATTTTGACCTCGTAGAAATCAGAGTGATGTACTTTGGAAAAAAAAACAATCATATAATATTCTTTATTTTTCATCTGTTGACGAAATAATTGACAGTATGCAAACATTTTATAAAATTACATATTTTTAATGAAGGTACCTGCGAATCGCAAGTACTAATTATTAACAATGTAATCAACTGCAATAATCGATCGACGTCCCGAATGAAAATATGAATTTCGTTTTCTGCCGAAGCGAATACTATTGTCTCGTTCCTTATTTCGTTAAAAATGATTTGCATGGCCCACATACTCACAAGTAAATACGCTCTGGCCAAAGTTGGACGTTCGTTCAATCTTATATTTATAAACGTTGACAAAATTAACTCGGAAGAAATAATTTCTTAATAATATCGAGGATGACCATAGTTATTATCGTCAAGGTCAACCGATTTTATACCTATAGGGTGTGAAGTATACATTGTACACGTTATAGTTTTGTTTAAACTCGAAGCCTGAATAATAATAATAATAATGATTTGTACTTTATTTTATCGAATATGGCGCCGACGAGCCAGTTATAATAATAATAATAACAAAAATGAGTGAATTTCACGTAGAAAAAAACCTTCTTGCGATTCAAATACCACAGCAATGCATAATATATCATATTATACGTATAGACGAATTCAACGGAAATTAATATTGGGAAATAAACGGAGTGCAATAATCGTTTTCACTTCTCACGGACGGCATTTCATTAGAATTCGACTGCCAGAACGAACACAGCAATGCGTGTATTAATATCGGTGCCGCAACGGGTCTTGGGATCGACGGCGGCCGTTGTATATCCACCGCCGCAGCAGCCGTAGTGATAATTGGATATTAGTCGATCGTGAACAGAATTTTTAATCGATGCGTATTATTTCGTCGCTATTGTAGTGCCCAATATAGGTACGAGTACATGCGTACGAATTTCACACCCTCGGCATCTTTATTTCCATTTGTCTTACGGATAATGGTGCTGTATATTTTACGACGCGGACGTTAATTAACAACACCACGGTTATGTATCCCAGAGCCGCACAATAATCGCTGTGTACGCACAAAGGCTAAAAATAAAAAAAAACGAGCAGTATCTATCCGAGAAGATATTTATTTTTTCCCTTCCCCTATTTTTTTTTTTCTTCTTCTTCTTCTTTCTGATTAAACCGAGTTAATATGCGCTACAATTTTTGCGCAACATTTAATGGTGGCGATTTCATCCTGCGACGGAACCCCGTGCGGTGCCATTACACGTGGCGCGCAGCAGACACACTCATGCGCGTTTCACGTTCACGACGTTATTCTGACGTTATTTGTGCACGTTTATCGTAGCTGCTACCGATTATATCGGGATCGATCGCGTTATGGTTCTCGACAAACGAACGGACGGGGGACGAAAAACAACGAACGTGGTGATTCGCTGCCGCGTACGTATTTATAAATCAAACGCGCGGAGTCGAACACCGACATCGCACTTCGCGTTCAATACGTTTCCGCGTCGCACGAATTTCTTATGTCGACGCGTTATGAAAGTTCAACGCGAACGCGGTAGTTCCGGAAAATCCGTACACTTCTGTTTCATGCTTCCGATTCGAAACGCGTATAAAAGTAAACACAAATGTGATAAAAAAAAAAAAAAAAAACGAATCGCTCGTGAACACGCGTACGTTTAATGCGCATACATGTACTGTTATAATGGTGGTGCGTTGCATAAAACGTTGGCCACCGACGTCGTTAAAATTTAATAAAAAAACACCCGTGGTGAGGAAAATGTTGACTGCTCTCACTACCGCGTTATACTTACTGAGATAACCCTGCTGCCGCGCGTAGGTGTGTTTTCATTTCTATTCAACTGCAACGTGTATTTATTTTATTACGAAGCCCACTCACCCGCTGATTTACTATTTACGACAACTGTCATATTGTTGTTATGTACAAGCATCCGCTTACATGTACATCGACGCCTGCGACTTAAAATATCTGTATCTCGAAATTTCTAACCCGGCAACAGGGTAATATCTAATATATTACAGTACACACGATCAATGTATAGTATATATATATTACACTCCAGATTACCGGAAGTAGGAGTATATTTACGTATTCACGAATTTTAATGTTGTAATATATACTTATTAATCAGTCATTATAGATACATAAAATCTAATGCAAATTGAACGTGAACGTTTGATATATTTATAACGACAATTTTAAAATAAACTAAAAGCAAAAACTTATTGTACATTTATGTATATAATATATCTATACTATATGGGGGTCCGCAATTTCTAAAAATCTTTCATCAGAGGTCCGTGATCTAAGATAGGTTAAGAACCACAGCACTCAGGGCCCCACAAGGGGGAGGGCTGATGGACCTTGAGTACAGGGGCCCGGTTATTTTAAGGGTCCGTGGGCCCGTTGAAATTTATTTATAATTTTAGAAATTTTAGTAAAATTACTTATTATATATTAAATAATATTGTAAAATAATATTTTATATATATATATATATTTAGTTATTTTGATAGTTCAAAATACGGATTAACCAATGATTACCTGATGATTACCAAATTAATGGATTAGCTTCGACAATCAATTTTGACGATATCATTATTGAGTTCGCTGAGCTCAAAGCCCGCAAAATAAAATTTTAAATTAAAATAAATATATTAAATATAAATTAAAATATACTTTTTCTTTTCTTTTTTAATTTAAATAATATTGTAATAAAAAAATAAAATAGACTAACAAAATAAAAATGTTGAAATGCTTATGAATCTTGAATTTGAATTTGTATTATGAAAAAACAAATATTATTCCTAAAATTGTTATATATATAAAAATAGTAAATTGTATTTTTGGAAGTTTTATAAAGCGCCCGGACAACCATATAGTGTAGGGGCCTGAAATTGTATGTGGGGGTCCTGACTGCACTATAGTATGTGATATTTGCTGACTTAGTGTTTCTGACCTAATCATTGATAATGCATATTCGAGATCGGGCACGAATTTTCGAGATAATCTCGATGGGCCGGCTCGTTTCAAAGTTGTACGGCTGTACGAAGCGTTAAGGTACATAAGTCAGGCACATAATTTAGGGGTGGCCATAAGACCACAATTACCGCTCCCCTTTAAAGACTGTATTGTACAGTTAAGATAAGCGGTATATACCACTTTATTGCATGTTATTCAAGCCCCAATCATTTTGGAAAAATTTAACCATCCCACCGCCAAAAAAAAAAATAAAAATAAGCGTCTATTTACATGCCTGGCATAAGTACCGTTGTGCAAACGGTTCGCAATATTATTACAAGTTTACCGGACCCGTTAATAGGACGATATGTGTGTTGTATAATGTTTACTAACTTGTTGACAGACGACTTGAGTAGGTTGCTGGTAGTCGGCCGCCATTGACACGCGTTTTAGCGCCGGTTTGAGGACCATCATCGGTACGACCTCGTCGCCGCCGCCGCCGCTGTCCCCGACAAGAGGTTCGGTAGCGTTAAGTCTGACCGCGGCGGCGGCGGCGGCGGCGTTCAACTGTGCATGATTGCGGAACGGCATGTACTTGTAGAACTCGGCCATCTTGTCGGATGGCGTCCCGCCGCCCTTGTGCCGGCGCCGCTTGAAGCAGAACGTGGGCGGGCAGAAGCACAGCATTATGCGGACCGCGCAGCAGCACACGCCGATGGCTATCATGCCGGGCCCGATGAACCGCAGCTGCACCGTCTTGAAGCCCTTCTCGCCCGTACCCACGAACGCTATGATCAGGCCCAGCGCCACGGAGCACAGGCCCACGTACAGCAGCGTGTTGGCCGCCGCGCCCTGTTGCAGTTCATACAGCTTCCGGTCCTCGCCGCCGTCGCCGCCGAACGACAGGGCGTCGTGGATCTGCGGTGCCGGGTGGAACATGCGAAAAACACACAATGTTATTCGACAACACGATAGAATATGATTACCAGACCCATAATAAATAAGGGACGGTGGCGAGGTGCGCCGACATGTGACGTTTTACGACTGGGGCCCCGGTCCGATGCCCAATGCAACTCTGGCCGTCGAAAGAAACGATTTTATTCTCTAGAATTCTCACGTCCAAGCGCGTTTTCTTTATCAAACCCAGATGTACGACGTTAGGGCTCGTGATATTTTAGTGCAGGACACATATAATGGGCTAGGAAAATTGTTTAATTGACCAGTAACTATACGTTAATTAGATAGTTTCCGCGTCAAAATATCTCCGTTAAAAATAATTTTAATGTAGATAATATACAAAAACATATTAATAATATATATAACAAGTATTAATAATGTATACCGAATAAGAATATTTCCAAGAGAAATTTAGAAATATATTATGTTTTGAACTGTAACTTTTTCGAAAAATTATAAAAATTAATTTCTGAAGATCTAAGTCAAAAAAAAAAAATAAATAAAAATATTAGGAACATGACGAATGTGTCGTAGAGAAATTTAACGAAATGACAGATCTTCAGTATTTATGAGGAATCGCTCATAATCTCAAACTTTAAAGCTGTTTGAAGCTTAAGATAATTTTAAATGTATAATAAATAATAATAATAATCAAAACTAAAATATTTTTTGCGGACATATATTGTATCGGAGATATTTTTACCGGAGATATTTTGACGGGTCACCAATTAAATATTTGGAGAGACTGAACTTTTGAGTAACAATTATTGATTATTCAGATACATTTATATTTATTAATTTATTAGCAGCCAATAACAGTACACACGCACATGTACATTGTGCATATTATTATATTATATAACGGTGATAACAGTAAATTTTTACTGGCAAATTAAGACCATAAATCTTTTAATATTTTTAACATTTTTGTAATCACAAAAAACATGATAAAAAGCCTGAATAAAAATAAAAACCAAACATAAGAACCTGATAATAGAGAATATAATATATAGGTATATATATAGGTATATATAGGTATAGGGCATGGCCGTTTTCAACCAAAAACGTACCCTTCCCTTTTCGGCCGATTCACTTTTCGACCAAAACAAAAAATTTATATAATAAATCAAATATAATAAAATAATGATGTACAATTTTTGTCAATAATTATTAAAATATTAGTATAAAAGAGAACAATATTTTGTATCTAGGTTTGATCTCTTATCGTAATGAAAATGGTTTGCATTTTTTTTCGAAAAATCGGAACTTTAATTTTTAAAATGTTAGGACTTCGCTTGTTATGTTTACCGGCTCCACTCACAAACTCGAGTGCTTCTACGTGGCAATTTTCGGGGGGGGGGGGGAGGGGGGCTTCGACCCAAGAGGAATTATAGTCTAAGCCTAACCTAGTATTTGTACAAACCTTGATACTGTTGCAAATGGGATTATGCTCTGTATGTGAACCTAAAACATCGCTACGTGAGTAAAACCCTGAATCGTCATTAATATATCATAGTAGTTTCCATCATAATCAAACATTCTATATCATTATTTTATTATTTTAAATTGATTATATAAACTTTTGTTTTGGTCGAAAAGGGAATCGGCCTATTTTAAATTTGGTCGAAAAGTGAATCGGCCGAAAAGGGAAGGATACGATTTTGGTTAAAAAGTGAATCGGCCGAAAAGTGAAGGGTACGGTTTTGGTCGAAAACGGACTCGGCCATAAATACATATGAAAACAGTAATTTAGTTGCCCGTTCTATTACATCAATGCACACATAAGATACAACATAGAATTTATGTCCTAAATAAATAATAAATCATTGGTGATGATAATAAATAAATAAAAATCATATTTATACAACCTCCAATTTATTAATTTATCGCCTATTATTTTCTAAGTAACTACTACACGAGTATATAGATGAGTTAAGTGATTTTTTCTTCTATTTTCCAAAGTTTTTTCTTTAGAAAATGATTTCAGAGCTTAAAGTAACAAGGTAATTTTGTAAAGTGTTTCAGGTAATTTTTTTTATAATTTAACGTTATTTTTTATAAATTTACTGCTATGTGCTGATCTCGATGATTTTAATTTTCTATACAGTATGTATACTATACATATATAGTTACTCCACCTGAATTGGTACTCATACAACGGGCTTTTTACATGTCTTATTGCACCATTAAGGTTCCGTGTTTTGATTTACGTTTTAAGGAGGTATTGGACGGTTTTAAATGTATTATGTCAACTAAATATATTATAATGACTTATCAAAGTGCGTATATTGTCTGTATTTATATTATGACGACTTTGAAAGGAAATTCAAAAGTTTAAATATCACCACGTTTGAGGATATATTTCAAAAATGTATATGAAGCGATTGGAATCCTGATTTAAGTTTTGACATAGTTTTTCAGGAATTTCAGAAAAATTCACCATAACTATTATGGTACGGAAACCAAAAAATGCGAAATTCTTGGTAACGTATATTATATTATACATAGCATAATATATATGTTAAGACTGAGACGAATATATTTTCCATGCTAGTATAAAATATAAATAAAAATCTACCAATTTGTATGACTATATTATATACTTATATAATTTTTAAACTAAAATAATAAAAAATTTAGATTTGAATGGGGTTTCTAATCGTTTATATATGTTTATACACTCAAGCATCCGTTATTATACTCATGAGTAGTTATAAAATTTATAATATTTTATGTTATAAGCATTAAGGTTTTGTCCATTTACAAAATTAATTACATCAACATGTTAGTGAATTATGGATTTTAATATTTTGTTATCTCCATATAATGTTAAATGGGTGTTTTTTATATTTTCTGTTTTAATTGCGTCTACATCGGTACTGAATCTCCTAAAATAATAACTTTAAGGGAATTTCTCACCGATGAATATTGTACTATTAAAAATAATAATTATATTTTATGCTAAAAAATACTCAAACACGGTCAGAATGCGAGTATATGCACATACTCATCACGTAGTAATTATTTATTAATAAAACGATAAAATAATTAACTTACCGTTGGCGTTTCGAACATAAAGGAAACATACGGGCTATTAATGAAATAATATACTTGACAGTTGAACGTTTAATAATTTTTAATTTAAAAAATATACATGACATTATACATTTTACATAAACAGATAAACACGAAAAACATGCCTTATGCTCCTTATTGACATATACACGATGTATTATAGATATTCAATATATAATACACGTATATGTGCATTTCTGCAGACTGAATGCTTTGAAAAATGTTTTTAGTATTCGAAACAGTGGCATGACTAGGGGAAAAATATGTTTAACCCCCTTGAAATTTTAATGAATTTAGAAAAAAAGTATTGCTTAATATTTGTATACAATTTAAGTTTAATTATTACCAAAATTATTATCTTGTGAAATAAATACATTTGAAATACGTGATGGTAAAAATATTAACCTCCCACTCCTCGAAAAAAAATGTTTTGGCACACCCCTGATTCGAAGTAATCTCGTTTATATATATACAGATTCAAGTAGTTCAGGTAATTATATAATGTAGCGTTAGTATCGTTGTTCACGCTATAATTTAATATTAAAATAAAAATATTTTCAGCGTTTACTTCTACTGTTATACTCCCTAGCATACAAAATTTACAACTCAGCTTGAAGAAAAGTACTTGTGTAATATGCTCTTGAGTCTAGTTATAAATGGTTATCGTATACTAATTATTTGTATATAACTGTGACAGAATATGAAAAATATTTAGAAAACACATGAATAACTAAATAAACATCACATAACTGCTTCACGAAATTGCCTAAATAGGAACACTAATTTTTTAATAAATTTTATGTACGAAACTTTTAAAAGTTTTTTGAAAATTAATTTCTTCAGAAAATGTAATTTTGAATAGCACTCATTCGAATTCATCCATGTGTTATAAAAGTAAAACAAAGAAAATAATTAATTTGGAATTATTGATTTTCCTTGGAATACATTAGGAAAGGGTGTTACGAAACCTTAAGGGACACTTTATATAAATGTACTGTTATCTAAAATGTACGCCTTACCGTTATAGCCAAGCAGATTTCCTATTTCCACATGCGGTTTTCGGTATAAGGATTTTTTTTTTTAATATTTTTAAACCTAAGTAAACATTGCATCGAACAAACAACCATGTGATTCTGACTTTGGATAGAGTCGTTTCCAGCACTTTTTAACACTGGCAAGTTTATCTGTGAGAACTTTTACAATTCAATCACCCGGAATTATTTATTTTTATTTTTTTGTGGCATCCGCTTTGAGGTAATGATGACAGAGCACCCCTGTGGTCATAAAATAACAAAACAGCGATCCACTAGGGACATATAGACTACTCTATATACCCTATGACCGTACATACAAGTATAATATGTAAACAACACTCAAAGTATGGTGTTATCGCTGTACTACCGGCATGCCACGGCATCTAACTTTGTAATGAGTCTTGATGTAAACCGAATAAACAATTGAATGGTTAAAGAATGATTTTACTATCAGCAAAATATTTTAATACTGTAATAGCTTACTATCGTAATATTTTACATTTTATTGATTTACTTTATTTTAATTAATACGGAATATAAATTAAATACCATATTTTATTAGTATTTACTGTTTATCTATAGATTTTATCACACAAATTCAATTCTACACGTGCTATTGTTTAGTATGATTTTAGGTTCAACACTTTTATCTAATACCATTATTCGCACTTATCCCTAAATTGTATACGCCATTTTCGCGCTTAAAAAATATTGAATTACATTGTCTGATGTAGTCTGATAATAATTTACAATACCTATATCGCTGGTAACAAAGTTCGCGTTGTATACTAAACACAAAAAGCATTGAATATTTAATTCAAATTATTTAATACCGAATTGCACATGCTATATTATAATTACTGTTTGGTTCAAAAGTGTGTATAATGTACTTTTTAGAACTTGGTAGCTCTTTTGAAAAGTTGAGAACTGAAAAAATAATCGTTATTGCGTGTTTCTACACAAGTAAAACATCAAATTTACCTATCGCATTTAAAAATACGTATTTTTACTTTTTTTTTATTCAGTTTTCTAATGATTTGTTATTATGTATAATCTCATTCATCTTCAATTTTTTCTACTGTTAGAGTGTCCCTACGTTTACATAAAAGCTGCATAAAAGTGTGTCCATACTATTCATATCAATACAGAAAAAGGGGTGGTGAAATTGATTTTTAATTCTCATCATGCTAAATATTTGAACGAATTGCAATTATTATTATTGCAATTATTATACTATTTGATTTTCTATACGGATATTAAGGATTTGGTGTATTATGTATTATAACACATCACAGTACATAAATGCAACTAGTAAATTATATATTTATCTTTTTATTATAATAGTTCAACTAACTAACAACTAATTTCAATGTGTATAGTATTGTATAATGTATTGAATATGTAAATATAAAATATATTAAGTATACTTGTGCATTGATAAAATGTGGAATAAATTTGATTATTATTACAATCACATGAGTACCAATATTACTAAGTATATGGTACATAATTTTATTAACACTGATTTTGGACAAAAATATTTTCAATTTATTCTTTTACTATCATATTTTTTTTCAAATATAGCGTGGCATCTTTTATAAGATACAACAATAATTCAAAAATAATTTAATGATCGTGGTTCATTAAATGAAGTTCTGACCAAAGAAAGCATGTAGTGGTAGTGAATTTCCATACACCACAAGAAAGGTCTAAAATCGGTCATAAATTTTTATATTATGGATAAAATGTCAATATTTTACCATACATGATTATCATATTTGTATTTTTATGAAAACTGGGTTTGAACTATTAATAAATAATAAATATATAAAATGTTTATTTATTTATTTTTGTGTATAAATGAATAATATTTATGGTAGGAGACAGACAAAAAATAACTCAACATAATATTGATAAATCAAATACAATTTGTTGAAAGACAAAAATGAATATGTTATATGTTATTTGATGAAAAATGGTAAATGCTTTGTAATATCTCATATTATAATTATTTATTTTATGATAAAAATTATTTTGAAAAATGGTTTATAAAATGTTTATCATTCGATATTTATATAGCATTGTTTGTGGTACAGTTTTTTGAGAAGTCATGGTAACCAACAATTAAAAAGTAAAAGAAACAAAAATGAATAGCAATATTTGAATACAGAGGCATGTATATGTTAACAATTATATTCATATGACTTCAATCAATAATCGGAACCCGAAGTTAGGAATTTCTTTATTTTATTCAAATGTTTAAGAATAGAATAAATAATATTCATTTGGACGAATGCGAAAAAAAAATTTAAATGCATATTATTATTTGATAATAATGCCATCAGAGAATACGTGTGGATTTTAAAATTGCATTTTTGTTTTTTCTTGCACTCGGTTATAATCGGATAACGATTATACCTATAAACATATATGGTATTTATATATGTGTGTTATAGTATCATATTTTCTTTCTATCATTAAGGATATTATCTTATAATAATAGGTATAAAAACAATATATGTTACATGTATATAGATGGGTTGGAGACAACAACTTGATGTGAGTTACTCGTTACATTTTGTAACTAAAGTAAGTTATTATTTCAATCATTTTTAACCACTATGGATCTTTAATTTATTCATAATAAAGCCAAAATAACTATGAATTTATCACTATCTTAATATAACTGTTAGTTTGAAAAATAACACGTTTTACGACATTAATGTTAAGTATAATTTTATCAAAATTAAAAAATTCTAATGTAATAAAGCGATTAATACACACACACACACACACACACACACACACACACACATATATATATATTTATATAAATTAATATATATTTATTCCTTGACTGAATTACATACCGACATTACAGACATAAAGTGATAACGATCGTCGATGTTATATTTGAATTTATCATGTTATTATACATTTACTGGTCCGGTCACTATTAAATTATATCTTAAGTCATAGTACATAATATTTATTACATTCATGTAGGAAATAAATAACCTTAACCTAACCATAAATTTTTTTTTATTTCCATTGCTATAACCCTATGGTTTTCAGTATTACTTAAAATTAATAATGCACAAGGACTTTTTTTAAAAATATATATTGTTCCACGTAAATCTTTACAAAAATAAAAACAATTTATGACTTATAATACCTTAATTTACGATTTATTAAAATAATTTATCAACAAATGATAATTATCAAATGAATAAAATATGGACCTTTACAATAAAAACAAATAACATAAAAATAAACTATCATTAAAAGTTATGTACGTTAATACTCTTATTAAGCTGGCACATATGTTCGTTAAAGTGTATAAGTGTACTTAGTGTCAAAACCACCAATGTAATATTATGTCTTAAAGTTGTAAATACATCATATTGTTGATATTTAGCTGCCAAAATCTTTAAGATTTAAATTTAAATAGTGTTTTATTTCACTATCACTTTACTGAGGTTGAAAAGCATTGAAATATTATCAATCAATAATAATATCAAATCGAGGTATCGACATCATTGTGCATTACAATACTTAAAACATTATTAGCCCTTAAAATTAATTTGTATTTTGCTATTTACATAATATTTAAATGTAGGATTCACTTCTTTCCCTTTCATAATGATAGCAGTAAAATAAAAAGTATTGGTTTTTCATAATTTGTTATAGTTTTCTGTTACAGTGATTAGATTTACATTTTGAAAGTTTAACTTATCCAACTTCGACATACATGTACATATAGAGGTAGGTACCGTTGAATGTGTTAATAAGGGGAGGAGGTGAGGAAGACTGGCAGATATATATATATATATATCGTTATTGTCACAGCATATAATAATTATATTGTATACCTATATCACCGACGTGCATATTCATGTGTAATCATCGTGTTCTACATAATATAAATATAATAATTTGCTGCATCGGGGGCGTTATTTTAATAGTTATATGGAGCTATAATATGCTATGTAATGGTATAACTTAACGGAGTATGATATATGTATTCGTTTAATCGGCAAATGCACATATGGAGTATAGACTTTTGTAAAGAGATCACCAACGACATTGCCAACCGTACAATTATAACAACAGCTAACATTGAACGTGGCACGATAAAGATTGTAATCCGGCTGGAGTGCATGGCTGTATATATCTAGTATTATTACAACAAAATATGCTCATTACGTGCCGTGAAGGGTTATTAAAGGACAACGGAGTAATCAAACAATTGGTATACCAACAGGTCGCTAGACAATATTGTTGGTTATTCGGTCGGTTGCTCTTCGAAAATTAACGCGTACACCAGTTCGAACCACGCACTTGTAATTGGAATTAATTGGTTTTCTGTGGGTAGCTGACTATTATTATACTATGTGCTACTGATTTCAATTAAGTCCGCTTACTTCTTGGAATTAACTGCAGAAGGCGCACAATATCTAACTAATCAAGGAGGGTTAGATGGCTTCCTCCTCCCGACAGTCTAAACCAAAGGTTATTAAATAGATTTTCAAAAAAAAAATCTTAAAAAGTAAAAAAAAAAACATAAATAAGAGTTTTTTTTTAAATATGTATCAAGATTGTTTTGAAAATATTTTTTCCCCGCCTTTAAAAACAATGAGATCCTAGATTCACCATTGAAAACAATGTCAGTAGCTTTTATTTATCAATAATCGTAGAAAAATTATGCTAGGTACTGATAAATACCTTTTGTCCTGCATTATCAAACTATAGTCGATGTACAAATTATATTATTTCGTCATTATCATCAGTAAGTTTTCTTAACCGTCCAACCACCGAAACATACAACGTAATAAAAATATTAGGCGTACACTTCAATTGGCTTATTGAAATTCTTTGTTATTTTTAAATAGCTGATTTGTGTTTAATGGAGGTAGTCACGTTGTTGGTATTAAGAGTCCGGAGAGAAGGGTTGATTGGCGGAAGGGACAATGTTAGTTTGAAAATTTTTGCTACCTCAAAAACAGTGTACTCGTACACTACGACCGACCATATAATAATATACGATAAGACGTAATGGAATTGGGCCAAAGGTTTATAAAAATTAACGCTTGCCTTGTTTTTCTTCGTCCACTTTTTATGCGGGTCAGCTGGCAGGTGTATGAGTATGGAACCATCTGGTGCCGTGCCATCGCTGTCCGGAGATGGTCCACCGCCGACTGGTCCTGGCCAAGCCACCGACGCTGCTGTTTTATTCTGAAAATTGCGTATGACGTGTGTTTTTTTTTTTTTTTGTATACTTCAAATACAATACATGTGTATATATTATACCATTCCCCTGGAAAATATTTAAACTAAAAACATTTTTATTATATTATAATTATGATGTTTTCAAATCATGTATTGTATCGTAATATTTTGTCCCGTATGGTAATCGAACAGTAATGGCTAGTCATATTTTAATGAAATCAAAAATGTTCGAAAAAATGATTATACAATGTTCTTAAATGCACTTATATTTTAAAACTTTGAAATTTGGATATTGGCATTTAAATATCTGTTAGAATTAATTATGATACGGTCCTAGCCCAATGAAATAAGTGCTTAAAAATATTTACATCTTAAAGAAATAAAATTTAAGACTTTTCTTTATTTGTCTTATATTAATTGATTGCCGTAAGTCAGGAAGGTTAAGGGAGAGGGGAATCGTTGTATTTCAAACAGTTGATGATTAAAGTTTTGATACATTTTCAAGGAAATCAATTTAAATGTGTAGAAATATTAATAATGACATCGAAAAATAACTTTATTGTTGTATATTTTTCTTGTCTTCTAGTCATTATTCATTATTCGTTTGCTCAAAATAAAATTTTCCTCAAACGAAATGTAGTGAATTATAACGAAAAAAATACATTTTTCTTTTACAATTTAAATCTGATTAACACATTGCAGTAAAAATAAGTATTTTTTAAGTCCGTATTACTTAAGCCTAGTAATTGGATTCTTTTAATTTTGAATCATTTTAAAAGTAGTTTTTGTTCAGGGTGACACGGAATGTCACGAGGGTTAAATAAATAAAATTCTAAATTCGTATTTTTTAAGTACACACATTTCGTGTGACATTCGTGATTTAAACAAGGGAGTAAGGACTATGGTAATTTTGAGATAAGGATAACGTACTTCTTTATAAATTAGGTACTTTTACAATTACTTTTGAAGAACAGAAAACTGATTAAGTAAATTGATGTCAGTTCTAGTAATTTATTTTATGGTGCAATTTAGATAGGACGAATGCAATTTAAAGTGTTTCTCACATTCAATAATTATCAAAACTTAAGCTTAAATCAATAATGATTTTCACGGTTCAGCTTCCATTTTCTATGATAGGTACTCTCATACATTTTGTGTTTATCGATTATAGCCCATTTCTTTAGACTCTTAATTAATTAAATTTGCACATTTTGTATGTCTTATAATTTAATTCTAAAAATAAAGTTTCTCTTTTGAATATTAAATTGAACATTAATAAAAGAAACTTTCAATGCGAAAAATGTAAATATCAGTATATATAAGACATGAATGTAAATTAAAAACCTTTAATAATTTTTGCTTAGAATTAGTTAATTTATTGTATAATCTAGTTTTAAGATTTAAATTTATAAAATTATAATTTATAATTATATAACCCACCAATAACTGATTCATTAACGATAATCGAAGAATACTATAGTAATATTGTGTTTAATAGTAAGTCATTTAATTTGTTTTTAATACTCAGATATATACTATACTAAATTCTAAATTATGTGTTTTTGACATTTCGTGTAAATATCATAGTAGATACTTCCGTGATCAAAGAAAAATATTTCTTATATCATGAATTTTATAAAGCAAAATCTACAAATTGCAATCCGAGTGGAACCACTGATATAAATAATAATTTTTTACATTCCTGACAACCCCCCCCCCTCGTAGGCTCAAATGCAATTGGAATCGTGATCTGTTTTATAAGTAATCACCAACCGAACTAGTTCCTAGGTGTCACCAATGGGTTACTTCCTTTTAAGTCTTGTTTAAATCGTTAAGTTTATTTTAATTCGATATGTTATTTTAGCAAAACTACTTATTGTGCTTTTTTTGTACAGATTGTGTTTTATTATTAATAAAAAAAAATAATAATTTTTATCTTCATGATTGTTTTCAAATATTAATAATATCTTGTTTAAGTCACGACATGTTTTTGATATTTAGATTATTCATTTAAGCTTAAATTAAATTAAAATCCATACTCCATGTATTTTGTAGTATTGAAAACCGTGAGTGTTATTCTCGGTCCGAGTATATACGCTTGTTTGTAATATAAAATTGAGATTAAAAGTCTAAAGAAAGTTTTTGCTATCGATGAAACTTTATTTAGAAAATGTATAAAAAACGAACCAGATAAAAAGTTGGTAAGATATTGCTGGGACCAATTAATGGTTTTTACCTTTCCATTAATAAACATCAATAGTTAGTCACCACAATTGCTATTACGAGAAAATCACACACCAAATTATATAGTATTATTAGTACTATGACGGCCATTAATTTGAAATTTTTTTTTTTACAGAATTCAGGAAGTATTAGTGATACATTAGCCGGTTATGTTTAAATTTATAATTACTATATTTCCTGTGACCGATATGTAATTAAAATTTAATGACGTGAAATTTGAACAATTGGTGAGCGGTGAGCGGTTTAATGTTGCATCTTTTTTGATGTAAACCTAATAATGTATGTAAAACAGTTTTATAAAAACCTTCGCTCCTCCTTCTTACTTCCGAATTATGACTTTGAGTTCACCTCTTGCTCATAAAAGTATACTGGTCACTAATCTTTTATATTTTTTATATTATACTGTCGTGTAAATGTTTGGCTAGATGCTAGAGGAGTAAATACAATAATTTGATAACATTTAATCGTATAAAATATATCACTAGCTAATTATTTATATTTATATAAAAATTTTAATGATTCAAATAAACAGATTAGAAAATCAAAATTTTTTGTTTAGATAATTAGCAAGCGAACAGATTTCGTAATGGTCAATGCTGAGAGGAATAATAAAACGTGGACTTCTATAAATTACGGACGATCTGCACATTTTTAAAATGTACGAAGCTCGGAATGCATATAAACAAAAACCAATAACTTTTCTCGGTTTTCGCGCATTCTATTGGCATCAATAAATTTGAGTTAGCGGTGATTGGAAAAAGTAGGTCTTCTTGGAGCTTTTCCACGTAAGAGACTCTTTTTGTACTGCAGATCCCAAAAAGAGCTTCTTAAGCAAGTTTTATTGCAAAGCACACGCAATTTTGCGGTAAAAAAAAAAAAAATCATATTTTTAAAAATGTGGATACATTTTAACGATTGCAAATTATTGTTACGGACTTACAGCGCCGCCATAAATCGACTGATAAAACGAGTGTTACTTGTTGAAACGATTCGTATAATGCAATATTGTTATACGTAGTCACACGCGTTTTACGTGTGTAATACGTACCCACGTCGTAGGTGGGAACTCTGGGAACGGGGCAATGTTCCTGGTTGCCACATGGCTGGGCAACTGGAACCTATCCCTACGGATCTTCTTCACGCGGATCTTCTGTCTTTCTCGTATGTAAAGTGCGGCTTGCATGCCTGAGCTGGCCATTACTGGAGCTCATGGTCCGGAATCACTTCCCTTCGCGTGCCGTACAACATTTTCGACACACGGCCGTCACCGCTGCCGCCTCTGGTCGGAAATTCTTCTCGTTCGCGGTCGCCGGTTATTGCTTAATGAAAATTTATCGGAAATTCTATATTTTTTTTCTACTTTTATTTTCTCCGGTACATTCCACCCGATCTCGTCAGACACCGACACGTGTAGTGCACGTGAACTATGCGCAGATTGATGGTTGGCTGCGTGACGAATATTGAGGTATATGATACCGGCAGGGGGACGCGTCACGCGACGATTTTGGCGCAGCTGCAAATACGATCGGGCATAGCGACGGCGGTGACGGCGAAAACGATTACCAACGCCATCACGACGAGGCACCACACCTGTAGTAGATTCATTGGTTTATTTATTTATTTAAATTTTTTTTTTTTTTTCATTTTTCCAGCACTCGAAACACACGTCGCACTACCGACGTCAATGCTTTGCCAAGTTAACGCGTGCGGTTCTGCCTACGATACTCAAAAGTCGAACTTGGTCGTAGCAGGCAATTATATAATCGTTGTACGGGGCGAATAAAAATGTTGTTAATGTGTGTGTCAGTGTGGCGGAGAAATAGAGAGAGGGTGTGAGAAACAAAAGGATAGGGAGAAAGTAGTAGAGGTAGCCTCGCGCGCTGCAAAATCAAAAGGTTAATTTGACGTCACGTCGTATAATGAATAAATACAGTGGTCTCCAGGAATGAGTCGATATGAACAAAAATGATACACCGTACGTAGTTTGCATAATGTATTATACGTTATCATTACAGCGGTAAACTGTGTTATACGAATGAGAACGGTTTACCTTTTTAGTTATACGATTGAGAACGATTGTCGGCAGAACTAAAAAATAATATTTTGTACTTTATATTCAAACTATTGAGAATTATCTATCAAGGGGCAATCTATCATTTGTCTAAATTTTTAGCAAAATAGATAATAAATACGATACCTACCACGGTAAACAATTATTAATAATACCTATAGTCGTAATTTATGAATAAGTCAAATACAGTTGTTTGGTGAACAGCGATAACAACGTAATGTGTGCAGTGTTTATATTAGAATTCTTTAAAATTAAAACGTAGAATTACAACGTGTTATTCAATAACTATAAATATTTATTTGTAATGCAACAATAAAAAAAGGATTAACAAAATGGAAATGTTCCAACAGCAATCGTAATGCCAGTGTATTAACGAAAATTAATAAATCTTTTCAAATGGTGAACATATTAATCACGTAAGCAATAATAATCAAACAATTGAATGACAAATTTTAAGAGAAAATTGTTTCTTTATTATTAATTTATATTTTTAATTAATTAGTATTATATTAAAATTGAATATAAGGTATACTAGTTTGTATTAATTAATGTGCTAACGTTGCATACAAGTTAGTAGGTAAAAATCGTAATATCAATAAAGGTACGGCCAATAAGAACCATACTGAATCGTGTTCTACCTGTAGTGAATGATGGCAGACGAGTGATCGAATTCGATCACGCGATTTTTTTT